ACTAAATTTCTAACTAAATTTTGTAAACTAAATAATATGTTTGTTGATAATTGAATCATTACTTCAAATAAATATTTTATAGAAATTGCTTTTGTAAAAATCAATTGGAGGTTTGCTTTGTAGGAATTTGTAGCTTATTAGTAATATTACCCTAATTCATGTCAATTGTAGCTTATTAGCGTCTTTGGATCCAGTCAATGGAATGAGATCAATTTGGGATCTCTGCGGGGCTCGCAGACTGAGCAACCTAGACCATTCAAGTGAGAGAAAGAGATTCGCAACGTTTAAGGTATGGATTGTTATGAAGTGAGACAGTATAATGAGTTAATAGACGCCGTAAAATTAAAATTGAGTAGTACAGATCTTTTAATTTGCTTACTCCAAACATAAAGATCCACTACCACCCAAGACTAAACAAAGCAAGCTTGAAAATGAGATTCAAGAGCACGCTATATAATGCACACGAAAGTGGTTTGTGAAAGGAAAATTTTATTTGAACCCATGTAACCTCTTTCTACACCCAACTTAAATTTAAATTGTTAATTGTTTATTTTACCCTATTGCATAATTAATATTAAGTACAAAATGAAATTAATAATAAAACTCAAATTTATCAATAAACCCATTAAACCCTACCATCAGTTCATGTTTATCCTAAGTTTATTCTGGCTAAAACCCTAATAAGTCTTGTAGAGAAAAAACAAATTTTTTTTTATTGATGGATGGTGATTTTGAAGTTTTGAATTCTTCAACTAAGGTATGACTCAATTTATGAATATTTTGTTCGTTTGATTTCAATTTTTTTAAAGTTTAGAAGATGAGCATTTGGGTTTCAATTTTTTTTCATCAATCCCAAATGGTTTGTTAAACTTTCTGCAATTAGAAAATTCTAAGAAAAAACTTCTTACCAATGTTCTTAGATTATAAAATTCCTTGCTTGTTGATAAATATAAGGGGATGAATTGTTTGATTTGTTGCTTATGCATATCAGTAGAAAGAAAAAAGTCAAATGTCTGGGTTTGGTAGAAGAAAAAAAAAAAAAAAGTAGCCATGGAAATACTAGTGGGAAGAGGGGGTGGGGGTAAAGGACACCTTTTTGAAAGAAAAAAAATTCAATTACAGATGTTATTTTGTAAAGGGAATGGGTGTAAAGGTAACTTAACATTTTTAATTGGGTTTGAGATGGTAGTTTAGGTAATAAATTTGGATTTAAAGAGAGATTAATTATTTAATAAAAAATAATATGAGTGAAGAGAGTAAGTTGGATGCAGAAATAGATTACATGGGTTCACATAAAACTTCCCTTTGTGAAATTCAGAAGCCCACATGTGCCAAAAGAAATTTTATTTCCAATTTTAAAAGCAAATTTCTACAATCCCATCAATTCAAGAAACATTCTTCATATTTTTTTCAAACATTTTATATTACTAGTCGATATTATTTCAAAGAGAAGAAGTAGAAATGATAAACATTTTGACGAAGCTGGTTGACGGTTTGTTGAAGGTGCTACGGTTCAGTGTTTCCATCTGGGTCCGTCCGAAGGCACATCATTGTCTTCCCCTTCCCCTCTCCATTGTCATTGCTGATGAAGAGTCCATGTTGTTCTGTAAAACTGAGATTTTTTGGGGATTATATATATAGCTATGGGTTCTGGGAGTTTTAAAATTGGGGGTCGAGGGGTTTAGGAATTAGGTTTTATTGTAGAAAGAGGTCTTAGGGTTTTTAATGCGCGGAACCCTATTATTTCAGCTGAAATGCGTGGAAGACTATTATTTTTTGTGCTGTTGCAGTTCATCCTCCACATAAAGAGGTCACAATTAAGTGGTTCCCTACAACCCCAAAAGTCGACTGATCACAATTACTTTTGAAGCTAGAGCCAACGCCCTTGGAGATGTTTTAGCTTATATACTTCACAAGCGAAGCGATCGGACACTGTGAAATGGAGCTTACAAACTTCTTTGGAAAAGCATAAAGCCAATAGAGAGATCAAACATCATAGCAAAGAAACGCATCCGCCGACCAGGACGGGCCTTTCTCTAGTCAGCAACAACAACAACAACAACAACAAAGCCTTTTCCCACTAAGTGGGGTCGGCTATATGAATCCTAGAACGCCATTGCGCTCGGTTTTGTGTCATGTCCTCCGTTAGATCCAAGTACTCTAAGTCTTTTCTTAGAGTCTCTTCCAAAGTTTTCCTAGGTCTTCCTCTACCCCTTCGGCCCTGAACCTCTGTCCCGTAGTCACATCTTCGAATCGGAGCGTCATTCGGCCAATAAGGAAAGGATATGCGCATCCAGGGAATCGAACCCTGGTCAGTACCGTGGGAGGGTACTATGATACCACTACACCAGCTATCAGTGTGTACTACGAACCCTGGTCAGCAATGGAACAAAAAACAGTTGGATCAATTGGTCTCACAGGAGTCAAACAGTTTTCTTTTGTATCCAAGACCAGTACAAGCAAACCAAACCCAAATACAGTATCTATCCGCCAGCTATCAGTGACTATGGACGGGGCGGGTGAGCTTACTCAAAGACATACGTACAGACTACAGAGTGCTGAAACTCAAAGCAAGTAAAGACGAAAGCAACACCCCAAGACTAGATAATCCAACACCTTCCTCGCCATCAGGCAAGATTATGGGGGTGGAAGGAGGCGAACCATGATGGCCCTGGATTACTTGCCATGCATCAGCTGTCGTACGGGCACTTTTCCAGCCTCGTGTTCAACCGGCACCGTACAGTTAAGACAATAAATCGGAGCAGCATACCTCCCATGGCGGCCGTCATGTATTTCATAGCCCTTGCCAACCTTAGTTACGTTGTATGGGACAAATTTCAGGTAGGGGCATAAATCAGTCCAGTGCCCAAACACATTGCAAATTCGACAAGGGTCTGTGAATAGGAAAGTTCTACCCATTCTGCTCTTTCTCTTTTCTGGTTTTGGTTTTGGAGTAGTAGAATTCTCCTTGTCAAGCTGGACTTTAGCCAGATTCTTTTCAACAGCCTTTTGATTTTTGAGTTGAGTAGGAGGGCCATCTGTGTGTTTGAGGAAATGTGGAGATACATTAATTAATAATATAAATTGCACAGTGCACATATAAGCTAAGTGCGTAAGCCATCTGGATTGGGGTTGGGCCCTTAATTAGTTTGCATTCTCGATCTCGTTGAATCATCAAAAACTTACTACTAGTGCTTCATGCTCATTCACGTTCTACTCTGTCTCTGGGTTAACTTGTTAGGAGGATAACAATGCCAGCCATATGCATGCCATTGCCACCTATATATGTATATGTGTGTGTTTGAGCGTGCATGTGTATAGCCACCGGCCTTCTTCCTACCATTGTGGTTCAGTGTGCAAGGACAAATCCTCAATGTTGTGGGTTCGTGTGTGTGCGTGTGTGTGTATATAGCTACTGGCCTTCTTCCCACCATTGTGGCCAAGTGTGCAAGCACAAATCCTCAAAGTTGTGGGGCGCGCGCGCGTGTGTGTGTGTGTAAATAGCTACCGGCCTTCTTCCTACCATTGTGGTTAAGTGTGCAAACACAAATGCTCAATGTTGTGGGTTCGTGTGTGTGTGCGTGTGTGTGCGTGTGTGTATATATAGCTACCGGCCTTCTTCCTACCATTGTGGTTAAGTGTGCAAGCACAAATCTTCAATGTTGTGGGTTCGTGTGTATGCGTGTGCGTGTGTGTGTGTGTGTATATAGCTACCGGCCTTCTTCCTACCATTGTGGTTAAGTGTGCAAGCACAAATCCCCAATGTTGCGGGTTCGAAGGCTGGTATCCCAATGGAATTGCGTGCATAAATAGCTAACTGAGAATAATAGATAGTCCACTACCTATGAAATTTGTTGAGAATGAGTTCTACACGAATAACTGCAGGAGGCCAAATCGAACAGATTTGGGATGATACTTGATAGATTCTACTTATGCTCTAGTAATCACGCATGGAAAATCAAACAAAATTGGTCATACCAAAATACCTAATTGATTGTGATATGAATATCTATAGCTTTTAATAATTAAATGAACACGAAAAAAATTACATATTTTCTGCGCATAAAAATTAGGCATCATCAAGTACCCCATTTAAATTCAAGCACGGAAACCCTTTAAACATAAAAAACACACATGCATGGTGTTAATTAAGCTGCAAATTCGAAATTACAGATAATCTTCTTCCTACTCACAAACCCTAAAACCAAAGCAAACATGCAAAAAGCATACCATGAGAAGAGGGAGGAGTCCGGATCTCACCTCCGGGCTTCGTCGGTTGGCCTGGAATCTTCCCCTGCCAGGATCCGGATCCTCGTCCGGCTAGGGACTTCGACTTGGCCTTAGCCTTGAACCTGGCCTTGGCCTCGGCCTTGGATCGGTTGATCATGGTTTTGTTTTGTAAGCGACGGGCGAAATTGGGGATTCTGCCGGGGAAGCGCTAGTTAGGCGGTTTATATACTAATTCTCCATCATTTGACCATAATACCCTTCATATTTTACCGATTTGCAGCAAATGGTCGGACTTGCTCAAAAGCTAGTTAGGCGGCTTACGTTACTTTAAGAAAAAAATTATCCTAAATTTATCTTTTAATAATCTCAAGCTTATAATTTAACCAGAAAGATTGGAGAAGAAAAATTGTTTTTTTGGTTAAAACTTAAATTTTATAGGTTAAAATATTGAGAGGTCTTAGGTTCGAATATCGTAGATGGCGAATTCAATACCAAATTAGGTTGCTCATGATGGGTTAGCCAACTCCAATTTCGTATCACGTATCCATAAATCCACCTGAAGTTTGTAAAAGTATAATCCCACCTTTCTTTCCTATTCCTCCGCCATTCACTCACACCAGGTCCTTCTCAACCACAAATTCCGACCCTTCTCAGCCAATCCCGGTTGTTTCCCCGAGTTCAACCCCCTCGACAAGTACCTCTACAAACACTTGCGAGTTAGCAATATCAATTGTCGCCATCGCCATGAGAATCGACCGGAGTCGACCCAAACCCCAATACATACGCCTCCGCTTGGGACCGGACATCCTCTTGCTCATTTGCTTGCGGTGGCGCTGGCGGTGGTGATAAGAGGCGGCGTGTCAGGTTAAAAGTGTGTGACCCTCAACTCACGGCGTCGTTTATAACGGAGAGACGGTACAGTGGATGGGACTGGATCTTCCAACCGGGTCGGGTTACTCCGGGTGTTCTGATCGATGACGAGCAGAAACCGATACTCGATTGGGGGATCCGATACCGAATCGCTTTGGGTGTGGCGAGATCGATCGCGTACCTCCACGAAGAATTGCAAGTGATGCCTGCCCATTTACAGCAATCAGGTGAAAATTTGCTGCCCCACCCATCAATCACAGAATCTATACCGTTCCTGAAATCCTCCAATGCTTTCAAATCGTTGGGATTGCATGTCAGGTTTTGGGAGCTTAAAATCCGAGCTTGGAAGCAAAACCCAATAACAAAAATGAAAACCCAGAAATCTTGGACCCCCATTTCACAGAAACAAACCCTCTAGAAGAGAGAGAGAGAATGTGTAATCAAGCAGGAGCAGCAAAATCCTTGCCAAGAACCAAACTTTCTGAGTTCGCAGTTCTTCTTCTCCTCGCCGATTTTCTCTGTTAAGTTTTGGGTTGCGAGCGAGGGAGGCTTCTTCTCTGCAGAGGCTTACGCGCGCGCACCTCCGGCTGCCAGGGCCAGCATCACAAACCGGGTCACGTTGCTCGAGTCGTCCGTGGAGTCTTTCATGCCGAATTCTACCTTCATTGAAGCATCAGCAGCACCTGGACCCTGCCTTCTGTGACGCTCTGCGAGCCGGTCAACCTCTGTGCCAGGTACCGTCGTCACAGACACCATAAAATGCTGGAGGGTCGACAACATATCCAAATTGACATCTGGGTTGGATCAGTTCTCCTCGATTTCATCTGGATCGGGTTTTCTCTGGCGGAATTTCCAAAGCCATCCTCCGGGTTCGATGTTGGTCTGCGAGCCGTGGCTGCCAGTGTGCAAGGAGCTCTGCCTCAACTCCAACACTCTCAAGGCCGTCACTCTGCGACGCCGTCTTTTCCACCATCCTCAACAACCACAGTTTTCCTACACCGCCGTCGCAACTCAATTCCAGCAACCACTGCCGTTGAACCCGTGTTTTTCTTCCACCTGTACCTGCAGGCACACCAGATCCGGATACAGAAGTGGTGTCCCTATCCCCCGCAACGCCCGCAACGCCCTCGGCGATCTCGTCGGGGTCAATAAAAAAAAAAAAAAACAAACACTTTAGAAGAAAACACAGCAAACACAAGCAGTGGGTCTGCGACAAGTGCTCCAAAGTCTACACCGTGCAGTCCGATTACAAAGCACATCTCAAAACCTGCGGCACCAGAGGACATTCTTGCGACTGCGGCCGTGTTTTCTCTAGGGCTGAGAGTTTCATAGAGCACCAAGACGCTTGCAACATGGATCGTGTGCGGCCGGAATCACAAAAGCTGCAACCGGCAGCATGCCTGTCACGAACGGCTTCAAGTCCTAGCCCATCCTGCAGTGACAACAGTTTCAGCAGGGCTCCATCCACTTAGCCTCCATCTAATAATTTGCACCAGTATCTTAAAACTCCTCGAGGTCCTGCCATGGCGTCTCTGTCCGTCACAGCTGCCCTGGTCACCTCCACCTCCTCCGTCTCTTGCCTCGCAGCTGCCAACAACTTCAAAGACCGCCGTCAAACGACTAGCCGGCCGAGAAGCTCTTCCTCAAACTCGAGCTCCGCTGCCTGCAAATTTATCTACCCATCATCAACATTTATACAAAAAAGATATATTAAAAAAATAGGATGGTGGAGCAAAGCAAAGTGGTGCATCTGGCACCACGTGAAAAAAAAAGAGGAGTGGTGGATCAAAGATAGGGTACAGCCCCATGGCAGATCAAAAGTTTCTGGTGGTGCATGGGCACCATGTGCGGAAGAAAAAAAAAATTTGTAAAAAAAATAATAAAATAAATAAAATAAATAATAAATAAATAAATAATATAAAAATGATGGAACTTGGTGCATCCAGCACCAAAAGAAAAAGAAAAAAAAACAAAAAAATATAAAAAATAAAAAAACAAATGCATAGAGAGAAATAGAAGGTCCATTTTATTTATTTTTCTGAAATTTTACATAAATTTGCATTATACATAAATTAAAAAAAAAAAAAAAAATCAAATCAAATTTACAAGAGGGGATATTCAAGGACGATCAGGTGGCGCCTCACAACTCGGTAGAGCTCCAGGAAGAGAAGGCGTCGGAGGTTGGCTGTTTGAAGCCTCAGCAGTCGGTACAGCCCCAGAAGACGAAGGTAAATGCTGCTGGAACAAACCCACAAACCTCCGATGATCAAGTAAAATCTGACCATCAGATTCCTGCATCTGGTCAATTTTCCTCTTCATGTTTGTGGCATAGTTGTGTGCAAGCTTGTGCAACTGTTTATTCTCATGCTTGAGCCCTCTGATCTCCTGTTTGAGACTCATCACTTCAGCCGCCAACGATTCAACTTGACGGGTTCGAGCAAATAGGCGTTGGGCCATGTTGGACACAGAACCTGCACACTGCACACTGAGAGCCAGAGAATCCTTAACAGCCAACTCATCAGACCGTTTGGAAAGTAGTCTGTTATCTCTGGGAGTGACAAGGTTCCGGGCCACCACTGCAGCGGTCATATCATTTTTCACCACCGAATCCCCAACGGTAAGAGGACCAGTAGGAGATATGAAGGATGGGCGCCATATGTTGTCTGGAGAAGGCGGGACTGCCTCTTCACCAAGATTCAAGTCAAAACGACGGTCGGAGGGTCCAGACATTTTCAAAGTGTTGAAGAAAGAAGAGATCAGACAAATCAAGATCTTAGAAGTACAAGAAGGGAGTTTTCACAAGCGAAAATTCAAGTGTGCTTTGAAACGAACAACGTGCTTCTATAAAAAATCAGCACTCGACGGGATTTCAGAGATCGAAGAGGCGAGCTCAGAATTCGAAGAGGCCATTCAAAAATCGAAGAGGCAAGCTCAGAAATCGGAGAAGCATCTTGCTTTTCCAGACGCGTCAGCACCCGTCACACGCAAACTCAGCTTTGCGAAAATCACGAGCAATTTGTCGAAGCGCCGATCCCAGATATCGAAGAGGCGCCAATCTTTTTCAGCCACGTCAGCACCCATCACACGCAAACTCAGCTTTGCGGAAATCACGGGTAATTTGTCGAAGCGCCGATCCCAGTTATCGAAGAGGCGCCAGTCTTTTTCAGCCGCGTCAACACCTGTCACATGCACACTCAGCTTGGCGGAAATTACGGACAAGTTGTCGAAGATTTCTGATAAGGAAGAAAGCACGTGAAGCCATATAGATCAATCATGCATTGGTTGCCGACACGAGTGAAAGAATAGTACCTCTACAGGTATTAAGGGACCTCCTATAACTGTCCACCTTTACCTTCCATAGCAAGGCAGACATACAGAACCTTTCTTCATCTCCGAGAATGCCTTCCCAACGAAGCCTCTCGAGTCACTTAGTGTTCCTTATTCCTTGGGGTACCTCTGTAAGCCAATAACTTCAAAGCAAAAGTATCTCATATCACCAGGGTAGAAAGCAAGAGTATCTCATATCATGCGTTTTCCCTGTCGTTTCCTTTGTCCTTGCTCCTACCTACAAAGACAAGGATAAAGAAAACAATATGCCGGAACTTCCACTCAAACTCGGGTAAGGAACCGACTGCTTGGAACCCTTCCCTGATTGCCTACCTAGCACTGCTCTCGAGTACTCGTTTCCCACTACTGCTGTACTTCCAAAGAGGCTACCACATCTGCCTGAAGAATAGATAAGGCAAGTGAAAATGATACCTTGCAGCATGTGGAGATAACGTGCAGAAGGAACAAGCAGAGAAGAATGCGGTCTGCACAGTCAACTCAGCGGAAGGAGTCCGAACTGAGGAACTCGAGAAGCTGCCATATCTGCCTGAAGAAACAAGCAGAGAAGAATGCAGCATGCACAGTCAACTCGGCAGAAAGAGTCTGAGATGAAGAACTCGTTTTGACCCTCAAATTCTTGGGTCGGCTTACTAGGCGTTATAGGCTGCACGTGCCGATTCACCACCCTTGAATCAAATCCTTAAAGATCAAGTCACCAACTGGAAGAAAAGCGCATCAATCTTGAAGATCATACCGTTGACCAAACTGCTCAGGTGTGAATTAGAAAGATTGAACAGAGCAACAAGTCGTCACATTCACCTCGTGCCTGCTTGTCATGTGTTCAAGTCAACCTTCAAGGATCAAGCCCTAACGGCCCTTGAAGAAGTTTCCAACCAAATTCAAAATCAAGCCTCGACGGCCCTTGAGGAAATCACAAGTCCGATTCAAGATTAAGTGTCTACCACCCTTGAATCAAAACCTAGTTCAAGAATAAGCTGTGGAAAATCAACAATTGGAGGAATCCAGAAAATCTTCCAACCCAGTTCAAGATCAAAGCTGTGGAAAGTCAACAAGTGCAACAAAATACGTGCCGATTCATCCATTACCAAAGCCAAAGATCATCTA